CTCTCTCTCTCTCTCTCTCTCTCTCTCTCTCTCTCTCTCTCTCTCTCTCTCTCTCTCCCTCTCCCTCTCCCTCTCCCTCTCCCTCTCCCTCTCCCTCTCCCTCTCCCTCTCCCTCTCCCTCTCCCTCTCCCTCTCCCTCTCCCTCTCCCTCTCCCTCTCCCTCTCCCTCTCCCTCTCCCTCTCCCTCTCCCTCTCCCTCTCCCTCTCCCTCTCCCTCTCCCTCTCCCTCTCCCTCTCCCTCTCCCTCTCCCTCTCCCTCTCCCTCTCCCTCTCCCTCTCCCTCTCCCTCTCCCTCTCCCTCTCCCTCTCTCTCTCTCTCTCTCTCTCTCTCTCTCTCTCTCTCTCTCTCTCTCTCTCTCTCTCTCTCTCTCTCTCTCTCTCTCTCTCTCTCTCTCTCTCTCTCTCTCTCTCTCTCTCTCTCTCTCTCTCTCTCTCTCTCTCTCTCTCTCTCTCTCTCTCTCTCTCTCTCTCTCTCTCTCTCTCTCTCTCTCTCTCTCTCTCTCTCTCTCTCTCTCTCTCTCTCTCTCTCTCTCTCTCTCTCTCTCTCTCTCTCTCTCTCTCTCTCTCTCTCTCTCTCTCTCTCTCTCTCTCTCTCTCTCTCTCTCTCTCTCTCTCTCTCTCTCTCTCTCTCTCTCTCTCTCTCTCTCTCTCTCTCTCTCTCTCTCTCTCTCTCTCTCTCTCTCTCTCTCTCTCTCTCTCTCTCTCTCTCTCTCTCTCTCTCTCTCTCTCTCTCTCTCTCTCTCTCTCTCTCTCTCTCTCTCCCTCTCCCTCTCCCTCTCCCTCTCCCTCTCCCTCTCCCTCTCCCTCTCCCTCTCCCTCTCCCTCTCCCTCTCCCTCTCTCTCTCTCTCTCTCTCTCTCTCTCTCTCTCTCTCTCTCTCTCTCTCTCTCTCTCTCTCTCTCTCTCTCTCTCTCTCTCTCTCTCTCTCTCTCTCTCTCTCTCTCTCTCTCTCTCTCTCTCTCTCTCTCTCTCTCTCTCTCTCTCTCTCTCTCTCTCTCTCTCTCTCTCTCTCTCTCTCTCTCTCTCTCTCTCTCTCTCTCTCTCTCTCTCTCTCTCTCTCTCTCTCTCTCTCTCTCTCTCTCTCTCTCTCTCTCTCTCTCTCTCTCTCTCTCTCTCTCTCTCTCTCTCTCTCTCTCTCTCTCTCTCTCTCTCTCTCTCTCTCTCTCTCTCTCTCTCTCTCTCTCTCTCTCTCTCTCTCTCTCTCTCTCTCTCTCTCTCTCTCTCTCTCTCTCTCTCTCTCTCTCTCTCTCTCTCTCTCTCTCTCTCTCTCTCTCTCTCTCTCTCTCTCTCTCTCTCTCTCTCTCTCTCTCTCTCTCTCTCTCTCTCTCTCTCTCTCTCTCTCTCTCTCTCTCTCTCTCTCTCTCTCTCTCTCTCTCTCTCTCTCTCTCTCTCTCTCTCTCTCTCTCTCTCTCTCTCTCTCTCTCTCTCTCTCTCTCTCTCTCTCTCTCTCTCTCTCTCTCTCTCTCTCTCTCTCTCTCTCTCTCTCTCTCTCTCTCTCTCTCTCTCTCTCTCTCTCTCTCTCTCTCTCTCTCTCTCTCTCTCTCTCTCTCTCTCTCTCTCTCTCTCTCTCTCTCTCTCTCTCTCTCTCTCTCTCTCTCTCTCTCTCTCTCTCTCTCTCTCTCTCTCTCTCTCTCTCTCTCTCTCTCTCTCTCTCTCTCTCTCTCTCTCTCTCTCTCTCTCTCTCTCTCTCTCTCTCTCTCTCTCTCTCTCTCTCTCTCTCTCTCTCTCTCTCTCTCTCTCTCTCTCTCTCTCTCTCTCTCTCTCTCTCTCTCTCTCTCTCTCTCTCTCTCTCTCTCTCTCTCTCTCTCTCTCTCTCTCTCTCTCTCTCTCTCTCTCTCTCTCTCTCTCTCTCTCTCTCTCTCTCTCTCTCTCTCTCTCTCTCTCTCTCTCTCTCTCTCTCTCTCTCTCTCTCTCTCTCTCTCTCTCTCTCTCTCTCTCTCTCTCTCTCTCTCTCTCTCTCTCTCTCTCTCTCTCTCTCTCTCTCTCTCTCTCTCTCTCTCTCTCTCTCTCTCTCTCTCTCTCTCTCTCTCTCTCTCTCTCTCTCTCTCTCTCTCTCTCTCTCTCTCTCTCTCTCTCTCTCTCTCTCTCTCTCTCTCTCTCTCTCTCTCTCTCTCTCTCTCTCTCTCTCTCTCTCTCTCTCTCTCTCTCTCTCTCTCTCTCTCTCTCTCTCTCTCTCTCTCTCTCTCTCTCTCTCTCTCTCTCTCTCTCTCTCTCTCTCTCTCTCTCTCTCTCTCTCTCTCTCTCTCTCTCTCTCTCTCTCTCTCTCTCTCTCCCTCTCCCTCTCCCTCTCCCTCTCCCTCTCTCTCTTCTCGCCAATCACTTCATTTTGAAATGTATCATTAAAAAAGGAACTGAACATATTTACGCCTTTTTCTTCAGTAAGAATGTAATTATAATAATAAAAGTAACAGTGATAATGATAATAATGATGATAATAATGTTCCTGATGATGGTAGCGCAAAAGGACGGTAAATAAAGAAAGTAATTCCAAAAGTAAGTAC